TAAAGGACGATTTACTGTCCTTTACACAGGGAAGATATATTAACCAGGGACGTAATCATCCTCAGACAAGAGAAAGCCCCTTCCAGACCCCGCTGGTAAACCCTAATGGAGACATCTTCAATCCTGCCAGAAGTCACATTCCAGACACGAGTATCAGCAATAGGGGTGATCTAGTACGAAGGAAGCCACAGGAATTCGGTGGGAAGTCACCATGAGAAGCATATAGAGCATAACTTGAGCTACTGACAGAAATGAATGGATGGACAGAGGAGCAGAAAGCACTGTACTTGGCAACGAGCCTGAAGGGACAACCACTGGAAATACTTGGATAGTTGTCAGCAGACGACAGGCACAACTATAGAGCACTTGTAGCTGCTTTAGAACTCAGGTATGTAACTCAAAATCAGTCCAAAGTCTACAGGGCTAGGTTTAGGACTAGAGTCTGTGCTAAAGGGGAGAGCCTGCAAGAGCTGGCACAGGATTTGGAAAGTATGGCACACAAGGCCTACCCAACTGCACCACCCGATTTGGGATAGAATAAAAGAACATCCCCAAAGAAGCCCAATGCTTGTGGAAGCAGTGGAAGACCCATCCAGACCAGCGGACGTGAAGATTGGAAGGTCACTTGTGGCAAGTCATCAAGTAATACCCATAACAGTGGCCAATTTCTCTAAATGTGAGCAGACACTTAAGGAAGGGGCATTGTTGGGTGTGTGCCAGGAGGTAGAGCCAGTCAATGTTAAGGCAAGAAATACAACCATAAAGAAAGGACATCCTCTCCCAGAACACTTAACTGACCTCTATAAGAAAAGCATAGTCCATTTGTCATCATCACAGGCTCTTCAGGCTAGAGAACTCTTGGCGAATTATGCAGACGTCTTTTTGAAAGGAGATCATGACCTCGGCTGCACAGACCTCGTGGAGCACAGAATAAATACAGGCAATCACCGTCCAATAAAGATCCCTCTGAGAAGAATAGCTCTGGCAAAGCGACAAGAGATGGAGAAGGTCATGGATGGTCTAATTAAGGAAGGGATAGTCGAGAAATCAGATAGTCCCTGGTCAGCTCCCGTCGTGATAATCCAGAAGAAGGATGGGACACAACGTTGCTGTGTGGACTTCAGGGCTCTTAACGGTATAACTGAAAATGACTCATACCCGCTGCCAAGAATTGATGATACTCTTGATGCCCTAAGTGGAGCCTAGTGGTTTTCAGCTCTAGACTTAAAGTCGGGTTTCCATCAAGTGAAAATGGCTAAAGCAGATAAACCTAAGACTGCATTTAGTTATGGCCAAGGTCTCTGGGAATACTATGTGATGCCATTCGGGCTTATCAATGCTCCAGCAACATTTGAGAGGCTGGTGGAAAGAGTACTGGGAGGCATACAATGGAGGATTGCCCTAGTGTACCTGGATGATGTCATTGTGTTTGCAACAACGTTTGATGAGGAAATGTCCCAGCTGGAGGAAGTATTTAAGCATTTGAAACCAGCAAACCTCAAACTCGATCCCAAGAAATGCCACTTGTTCCAGAAATAGGTGCTTTACACCAGAGAATGTGGGAGAGTTAAGATGTATCTTGGGACTCTGTACCTATTACCGGAATTTTGTGAAGGACTCTGCAACTATATCTGCTCCACTACACGATTTGACCAAAAAAAAAAGGCCAAAAGTTCGAATTGCCAGTATGCTTTCAAGACATTGAGAGAAAAATTGGCCTCAGTTCCACTTTTAAAGCTTCCAAATCCCTCATTGCCGTACATACTGGATTGTGATGCTAGTAATGTCGGAATTGGAGGAGTGCATAAAATGTGCATGTCCAACTTTTTTTATTATATCAATATGCTAGTCGCACGAAAACTAAAATTTGTGTCAATTCCCATCGTGATTGCTGGAAATATGACTACACAGAAGCTCAAAATATACAATTTGGGGTTGTTTGACTTTTGACCACACTATATCCTTTAAAAAACCTAAATACAAAATATGAAAAAAGGTATCTGGTCATATTGGACCAAAGTGTTACACTACCAACTTACAAATCAATCCATCGAAAAATGAAGAAATGACGGTCGATTGAAAAATGTTTGGAAGAAGAATAAGAATCAATAGAAAAACAGTATGTTTATCTGCGGAAACATAATAAAACACTTCGACTTCAACACTGTGTTTTGTCTCTTTCGCTTCATCTGTAACAATCATTACATCTGTCACTTTGCATATTAGATCCACGAACGTCTGTGAAGTAGTTTTATCCTTGAAATACCACACCTGCAAGTAAATGTTTGATGTCTATTTGATATCGAGTAGTCTTGTTCCAGCTGTTACTCATCCGACAAAGATATGTGTGAATTTTGACAAATGTTTATAACTCATGTATATTTGTTATCAAATAGATATAAGCAATTAAATATAGTTTAATTAATTTTCCTCACGCTAACATAACTCTACTATGTTGCATGATATCAAACGTTACTCTGGCTTACCCTCGGGTTATCTGTGATGAGCTACAGTATTCTCCTTAACCGGTTTTACCCAGAGTTCCTTTTGATTTTCTTCCCTTCGCTAGAAATTATGGGGAAATGTTAGGAAATAATTCATCCCACGTAGAAAGTTAAAAAAGCTTTTACAGCTTGCAGAAGATATTTGTTGTATAACTAAAAAAAAATTATGAGTTACACAGCAGTGCTGTTTTTGTTTTTCTGGCAGTTATCCTGTAAGAGCGACAAAAGTTGTGATAACTCGAAAGAGTTATAACGTTCTTTGTTTAATTGACTCTTATTTTGTAAGATTCACAAAGCGTATATGTTTTTGTTTGAAGATAATGCTCAAAGAAAAAAAAGAAAAAACAACAGAAAAAGCAGCTGATTTTTTTGTTTGTAATTAAGTATAAAAGTACACAATGGGCTATCTGTGCCCACCACGGGTATCGAAACCCGGTTTCTAGCGTTGTAAGTCCGCAGACATGCCGCTGTGCCACTGCGGGGGGACGAAAGAGCTGAACGACTCTGTTTATCATGCCGCGAGTAACCTAAGGTAAAATAACGTATTGAGCAGCTTATAATTGGCTAGATATTAATACATTTGCATTATTTGTTGTTTAACCTTAACATCACTTATAAAAAAGTGTTTAGAATGTAGATGATGAGATATAAATTCAAAGATTTTACGTCAGTGAGTCGTAATGTAATAGGAAAAAACTTTGTCATCCTTTATAGCAGAATGTGATCCTATCTGAAGCGCCTTAGAGAATGAACTATGAGTGAATCTTTGTTAAGACATTAACAACAGATTATTTATGAAAACATTTTCAAAGTAGAACTACTTCAGCTTCTCTATCTAAACAAAAAACGCCTGGGATTAAAAAAGTGATTAAAGCTAAAAAAAATATATTAAATAGTACTTCATTCACTGATCTTATGGCAATGTTATAGTTCGTATTTCGCAAGTCAACCTGTCCTTGTAAGCAGCGTCAGAGAAAGAATCATACCTGTTACAAAACTACCAGTGTGTAAATCACGTGCGCGTTTTTTCCACCATACGTCATTACTTCATGAGCCGTCCAATTAGAAATCACCGCACAAATATAAGCGACACAAAAGAGCGTTGAGATGTTTCAATAGTTTAAACGATCGAAAATAACGAAAGCTGTCAGATTTAGAGTATTTACCATTGTTCTTGGTCATTTATATTAAGCGTCCAAATATCAGACAGCTATGGAATAATTTACCAAAAGAGCCTGTTTTATTTTGGTGTTAATTTATCTTAGACATTACTACCGTATCTAATAATGATGGATACTCACAGTCATTCAATGTTTATTCTACTTTCCTTGTTTTCAAATTTAGTTATGGTCTTAGTACTGGCAGATGAAACATCAATTAATGGTGTCGTTCATCTCGATACAACTCCTCGAAGCTCTTATCAATCCATAAAGACCAATGGACCTGAAATTTCGATGGACCTTCACAATGAATTTGTGGAAACTGTTGATCGACATGAACAGCATGAAGCTGCAGATCATAACCACGAGAAGCACGAAATTCATCGTTACCATGTAGCCAAGGTTGACTTTCCACATGTTTCTACTCCTTATATTATTAGCATATGGATCTTAATCGCTGGATTAGCAAAAATTGGTGAGTTGTGCTTTTTTTAGAAAAAAAAATATTGGTGATTTTTTTTTATTCGTCAGTAATAAAGTGATTCGTACATCATTGATAGTTATTCCGATTTATCTGTTGCTCCTGCAACGTATCGTATTTCAAACTTGATCCAACTTTATAATTCTATTTTCAGGTACTTTTCTGGCAATCTTGTAAAGTGCCGTTTTTTGTTGTTTTTTTGTGCGTCAAATAAGAATTCATGAAATTTGCTAAAGTATGTTTACACGAGAACGGCTCTTTGGAAACTCGTATACTGACTATCATATTTAACCATACGCTCGTGGTTTTAACAGTTTTGGGGAAAGTTTGTTGTCGCAATTTTTCCCCACCTTCCGTTGTTTAGTTGTTTTAGAGTACAAGTTTTATCTTTGTTTCTTATTAATTTCAATAGGAATTGTGTTAAATGTGTCGTGTTACTGAACACTTGTTTATTTTAACGCATCATACAACTAGTTAGTGCTCTGTTCATTGGTTCAAGTAAATATGTGTAAAACTTATGAAAAGCTGTGATCTTTCTAAAACAGTTTCATTGATTTTAATTACTTACTTTAAATTACTTCAGTTTGTGTAGTTCAGAGCATCTACAGTAAAATTATTTCAAATCTTGAAATTGTTTATATCCAAATACTAATTTGTGTAACGAACTTACGACAAAGACTGTTCTGCATCTGATTAGCTTATGAAGTATGTGTTTGCACCATATGAACTATGATAATTTCGATTTTGAAAATTTCTTATCGTTGTTTATTGTATGTTTCAAGGAAAAGTATCTTTTGTGATAAAATGCATTGCAAAAGATATCGCAGAATTATTTAATTAACTTGTATGTGCCTCAGGGGACTAGGCATTGCCTGGAGGTCAGTCAGAATTATTTAAATGACTTGTATGTGCCTCAGGGGACTAGGCATTGCCTGGAGGTCAGTCAGAATTATTTAAATTACTTGTATGCGCCTCAGGGGACTAGGCATTGCCTGGAGGTTAGTCAGAATTATTTAAATGACTTGTATGTGCCTCAGGGGACTAGGCATTGCCTGGAGGTTAGTCAGAATTATTTAAATGACTTGTATGTGCCTCAGGGGACTAGGCATTGCCTGAAGGTTAGTCAGAATTATTTAATTAACTTGTATGTGCTTCAGGGGACTAGGCATTGCCTGGAGGTTAGTCAGAATTATTTAATTAACTTGTATGTGCCTCAGGGGACTAGGCATTGCCTGGAGGTTAGTCAGAATTATTTAATTAACTTGTATGTGCCTCAGGGGACTAGGCATTGCCTGGTAGGTAGTCAGAATTATTTAAATGACTTGTATGTGCCTCAGGGGACTAGGCATTGCCTGGAGGTTAGTGCTTTCGACTCGCAACCTACAGTTGACGGGTTCGAATTCCCGTCGCCGAATCTGTTCGCACTGCCAGCCTTGGAGGCGTTATAACGTCACGGACAATCCTACAATTCATTATTAAAAGAGTAGCCCAAGAGTTGGCGGTGGGTGGTGTTAACTAGCTGTCTTTCCTCTAGTATTTCACTGGTAAATTAAGGATTAAGGACGGCTACCTGGAGAGGAGATGGGCGCCAACAGGTAAATCAGCCCTAGAATCACCGATGATGTATCAGCATCTAAGGTGCCCCAACAATCGTATGCGGCCTCGAGATTCAAACATAAAAAAAACAAATATATATATATAAAGAAACGATTCTGAGAACAGACGTTTTGATATTTTTAGGTATGGTGATTATGATGAGGAAAGTACAATGTAAGCTCTGTTTGTATTTCTTTATCTCAGAGGCGTTTTTAACTCTTCAAACTACTCGGTGTTATTTTCTGTAGGTCTAGAAATTTATAAGTTTTGTGTTACTTTGGAGGCCCGTCGGTGCGTTGCCCTGACGTTAAATACGCCACTGCTTGATCTCTTAAATGTTTTTAAATATCCATGATAACTTTACTACCTCGACTGAAGGTTAATTGGTTGGACGATGTTTTATTGACACAATTTTGCTGAACGATGTCTTAACGTGTATTGACCAAACTCCAATTTAAATATAGATAAAATTTTATAACTGGCGTGAATGTCTACACGATTGAAGTTTATTTGAAGAAAATCACGAGTAAAATAATTCATTAATACTTAGCAGCTCTTTTCTTCCTGTAGCTTTAACAATACACGTAAAAGTGTTCATCACTTATAGGTAGCTCTCCGCCCCTAGCAACTGAATGGACAAGCCCATTACTACATATTGTATTATACACTTAGCGATGGTAGGTAAAATGACCATATAAAAATGAGCAGGACTATAACTACCCACTGAGGATTTAATAAACCACAACATTACTGTCGCAACCACTCCTTAATAATAATAATACAATGGACTGAGCATTGCAAATGTTACAAGAATATATATTTAAAAAACTCAAGCAACCAAATTATAACCTTACAACTTTTTTCGTGATGCAACTAAGTTTAGGCACCGAAAACCGCGTTTCTTGGTAGCCGAGAAGACGGACATTTTCATATTTGGAATGTTATACTTTAACATTCTTAAGATTATTATACCGAGAAAATCTGCGCATTATTCCAACTCCTTCCTCGTTGTCTAAGCCAAATATTAAACTCTTCTTCAGTTTCATGTAAATTATCGTGGCTACTGAGCGGCTTAAAGTAAGTTTGATTTGTTATCTCAAATTATTAAATTTAGGGCTAAAATGTATAAAGTCCTGATGTATCTATAATACTCAAAAACGTATACGTAGATGTATTAGACGGATCTTTCAAAATTATCAAAATAATTATTTCGCTCCGTGATGTTGGATTGAGATCGATAGTATGCTCGGTATTCAAGGCCACCTGTCTTCATTTCTATGTGTATTGTTGCTAAGTTAGAGAGCTAAAACAACTCTAGATGAGAGATAGCTGGACATACTTGTATACATAGAAAGCTACAAGCTGAATTAATTTAGTACGGGTAACATGCTTTGAGCTTATGCTTGTTTGTCTGTTTTTTAACTTCGCCAAAAGCTCGAGGGCTATCTGCGCTAGCCGTCCATAATTTCGAAGTGACAAACTAGAGGAGAGACACCACCCACCGCCAACAGTGACATTGATCCTCACATTATAACGCCTCCAGGGCTGGAAGGACGAGCATGTTTGGGGATAGAATTCGAGGTTTGGTTAAAATTTCGCGCAAAGCTACACGAGGGTTATCTGTGCTAGCCATCCCTAATTTAATAGTGAAAGACTAGAGGGAAGGCAGGTAGTCATCGCCCCCACCGCCAACTCTTGGGCTACTATTTTACCATCGAATAGTGGGATTGACCGTCACGTTATAATGCCCCACGACTGAAAGGGTGAGCATGTTTGGTGGGATGGTGATTCGAACCCGCGACCCCCAGATTGCGAGTCGAGCTTCCTAACCATCAAGCCATGCCAAGCCTTGCATTGAGTTATTTGAACTAATTACTTTCTAAACTTTAAATGATCACAAGTTTAATACTTTTGTCTTTTATTTCATAAAGAATTGTCAACTATTTTTGAGAGACATATAATACTTTCTACCCTTCGAATGAATTACATACATTTTATTCTTGTCGTATCAATATGATTTTCTACCTTTTAAGCATTACTCTAGCGGGTTATATCGTTGGACGGTTTCTTAAGGATTAGTCCATAAAAGTAATGAGAAGTCTAGTCCATTTAACAATAATGAATTTATTTATTTCTTCAGCCATGTTCAATACAGACTGTGTTCACTGGTAGACCTAACTTCACAAACAATGCTTCAGCAGAAATTCCAGAATCACAAATAAAACTCACGTCACTGCTTGCAAAATCCTCGCTAATCAATCGATGATAAACATAATGACTGGCTCAATCTCCAATCATTGAATAACTAACTCGATGAGTGAAACACTCCCAAATAGACTTACTTAACTGACGAATAGACTAATTCACACTATCTAAATAAACATCTACTGACTCTAAACTGATTAATAAAATTTACTCTTTCAGTCCAGCGTTTTCACATTTTTCTCTATTTCACGAAAGCTTGAGATTACCACATATGCCTAAGCTTTCATGAACCTCTACGCTTTACATAATCATTTCATTATGTATTTAAAAATAATCCTTCTAATGAACAAAAGATTTAAATATTAAAAGAAGTATGGTCTACAACAGTATTTCTGTCTGGGATGTGCCTCACAATATCGTATTTCCCAATGTAAAATATGGATACAGCCTCGTTTCTTTGTTAAAATGACCAAACATTATTTTATGATGTATGAAAACATACACGTAATAGTGAGCTTTTGTTTCTTCGGTTAAATATGAAAGTACAAAAAGTGTACATCTAATTAAAAACCAAACAAAACTTTAACCGAGATTTCTTTTTGAAATCGTTATAATTGTTTTTTGTTTTTTTATATAAAAAGTTTTCGCTTCTTTCCTGTGTGGTATATTTCAACAACTATTATTGTTGTAATGCATTCTTTCGTTGGACATGTTATTTTGAGTTATATGATAAAAATAATGCCAAATCCAATGCATCTACTAGTAACATATTAGTTTCGTTCTTCTTTAACGTTTGCTATAGGCTACTTTCACATGTAATTGTAAGCCTCAGTGAGCAAATGTTTCCGAGACTGACTAACTCACAAATAAACTTACTTACAGAATTTCCTCGTTGAACGTTCGAGTAACTGACACGCACGTACGCAGGAAGAATTCGAGGGGGTTCGGCCTTTATTTTTGTGATGTAAGAAAGTATGCTTATATAGTTATAGCGCAACTACTTACGATATTTAACGTTTTCTACATACTATACATTCTTCTGATGAAGCATTAGCATTTTTGGCATGAAATAGTCGCACGCAATTGCTTATATTTTCTGGGGGGCATGTCCTCAGATCCCCGTAACATTAGCATGCTTTGCATGCTGATTATGCTTAGCACAATGTGTTGGTTTTCGATCTCGCAAATTGAAA